CAGTTCCTTAGTGGCTGAGTAGGTAACCTTTAACCTTTTAGGGCTCTTATAATCCTACTATAATTCAAAAGGTTAACCTTTTTTGGGCCAGGGTACTCAGCCCCTGAGGTTCTGCAGTCAGTATGACTTGCAGCAAAGGATGATTAGAGTTCGGAGCACTCTAGCTTAGCCTGCAACCCCTTGTCCATACAGGTTCAAATAGGATAACCCCAATACTTGTGGTGACACAACAACACCCAAGCAGTGCTTCAATTAAGTTAGGCATGGTTTCATCTAGGATTGCTGCCGTTGCCGTTTTTTCTACTTGAGTGTTGAAGTGGCCTTCTTTAGTTTTGGTGCAAGACAAAAGCCCTACAGTAAACCGTGTGACATGCTTCGTGTTCGGATCTTGTATCTTGGAGGAGCCAGGATCCAACATGGTGGACTACGTTGCCTTCGTGCACCGCTTCCGTGCCAGAGCAAAGCTTAGTGGCTGTGGGTTTGGGCTTCTTTCGGGGCGTTCGATCAATGTTTTAGCCCCAAAGTCCTCAACATGCTTGGAGCGAAAGAGACTGTTTTGCTCTGCGGTCTGCAACTTTTCCAAGCAAATCTATACGCGGCGGATCATCGGGCCACATCATCTCAATCATCCGGGTGTTTCATGTTGCCAGGGTTGGCTGGTACATTATAGGGCTTACGGATGGAGAAGGGTGCCCATGCCTGTGACGTAAGGAAGGAGCAGAAAACAAGCCCTGAGGCAGCGCTTCCACAAAATGATGACGTCCCAGGAAGGAGTTAGACAGTTAGGCGCTTGAAAAATGACCTCAAAGAGTTAAGAACGAAGACCACACAGGTACCTAAGCCCTCAGCGAAGCAAAGGTGTCGGTCTCGCCGGCTCGGAGATCTCAGACGAGTGGGCCCAGGCTTGGATGCCTTAAAGGTCGTAATGATTTGGGTACGGTGTTGCACCAATTTTGCTAGTTATGGTAATGGTGTCCTATAGTCTTATATGGTCACTACATGGTCTTACCGGATGTTTTCCTGCTTTCAATTTTGTTCAATATGGGCCATGCACAAGTCTAATAGGGTCTGGGTACATTCTAGCATAGTTCTCGCGAGCCGGATCGCTGGAGCGACAACTAAACAACACGCCGGCCGGCGACACCACGTGCACGAGCCAAGCCGCATTTTATTCAGCATGGTACTCTTTTGCATGTTGCCCCTATAATTAATAAACATGTCAGAAAAAACGCAAGGCAACAGACGTCATGATTGCTGGCCGTTGTGCATTCGACATGAGACTGGCGAAAAGGGAAGGACAATTGCTAACAGCTCGCAGAGCCTTTTTGAGTGGACGTACCGGTCTAGAACGGCGAAGGCTCTGATCCGTGGATGCCAGCCTACTAGTTCCTGAGACGTTTCCGGATCGCACGTCTGCTGATGAGGGAATCTTATTGAGTCCAGTGGTCGCAGAGTACACATCCTGAGGCACAGACGGCAAAATTTACCAACCAGAACCAAGTTCGAACTCTTCGACCGAAAACCTTGTAGGAATTTGTCCTCAGCATTCACAAGAAGGGTTCGGATGTGAAGCTTAGTGCTTAACTTAAACCTGTCACTCCGTTGGTTAGAAATCCAGTTGGAAGCTCGGAAATCAATCCAAACTAGGGTTTAGCATTGGAAGTCCTAAACCCTAAACCCTAAACCCTAAGTGTTTCGGCTTGCTGGTGAGGATACAGACGCTCCCCAAGAACTTTAGACCTCCAGGCCCCCGTCACGAAAGCAAACTGAAAGACATGAAACACACACAAATGATCACTAGTCCTGTTAGGGTTCCTTTATTAGAATAATACTATCAAGGAGCCCAAAACCCTATTCCAGAATCGGAGCAGCAGCAGCAGCAGCAGCAGCAGCAGCAACAGTACACCAGGAAGCTTTTCGGGCACCTCGCAGATACTCCAAAACCCCTTAATTTAGGAATATACCCTAAATCTTACTAGGGATCCTATGATAGCTTTAAGTATGTTCCTTAATTAAGGGGTTTTGGAGTCTCTGGGCTCGCAGACACTGGTCTCCCGCGTTTTCGAGCGGCTGATTTACAGCGACTGGCCCATTACCCAGATGCTGCATCACTTCGACCGCGACGGGAACGGCAACTCGGCTGAATCAAAACTCTAGCTCTAGCCCATCTAGTCCCAAGAAGGCGTTAAGCTTAAGTTAAGCAGCTGTTTAGGCAACTTGTTTAGCCTCTTTGAAATTCTGTAGCCCTGTGATACTTCAATTTAATACCATGCCCGGAGCTCAAGTGAGGAGCACTGTCGAGACAAAAAACGGCGATGAGACGGTCCAAAGAGTGTTCACCAAGACGGTTTAGGGTTTAGGGTTTAGGGTAGAAGCCCCAAGGATACGGCATCAGCATGTTGCAAGTCTGAGTGGTCGCAGCTCTCTGAATCTCAAAGATTCAAGCTTGCCGGCTGTGTCATGAGAGTCCAAGGTACGGTGACTGCTGCTGAGCTGAGGCAAGGCGACAGACTTTGGAGCAGTCCTGACCCTTCAGCACTTTCCCTAACCCGAAACCCTAAGCCCTAAACCCTAAACCCTAAACCCTAACCCTAAACTCCAAACCCCTTCAGAGGTCTTCAGAGGTCTGTCGGATCAGGGCCCTTGGGGTTGGAAATGACTGGCACGCACGCTTTCTAGAGCAGGAGCCAGCTTAGCACAAGCCCGAAAGCCAAAGGCCCGAACATCGTAGGCCCTTGAGGGGTCCTTCGTTCCCTAACAAAAACACAATCAACGCGAGCCTACGACCTCAAAATCCGGGAGAACCCCACACCCTCGCAGGGAAGCTTTTGTGGAGCTGGACGTTGGCATCACAGGGCCTCAGGCTGGGTGTCTCCAACCGAACGAAATAGGTGGGCTTGGAACCTTGAACTTCTGGTCACGTTGGACTCCAAGGGCTTGGGTTTCTATCTCGGGATCTACACGTCAAGGGGTTCAGGCTTTTCGCGCTGAGGGATTTTTGGATTTGGGTTTTGCGGATGAATGTTTTGGGCTTAGGAGTTTAATTCTGAGAAGTTGGGGGATTTGGGGAAAATGGGATTTTGTGGTGTTCAGGTCATGGGCCAGCGTGTTGGATATGAAGGTAGGTGTCGAAGTTGCCGGATGTTGCAACGAAAAGGTGTTCAACTCCTAGCATTCCACCACTTGCCAAAACTCCGAACCCGAACCCGCTTAGACAAAGAGGCATGAACGCCTAACTTGTCTCAGCCAGTGAACTTTCTAGCTCTAAATCCTGAAGCCTAGACCCTAAGCCCTCAACCAACCCTCGTCACGTATGCTTGCTTCATCATGGTAGCTTTGCAGGAAGTTCCTTAACTCGAAACCCTACATCCTCATGCCCTCCAAACTTGGACAATCCCACAAAATCCTGTTTAAGAATCCGGTAGTCAGGGTAAGTTTGATCGCACCTCTCAGCGCCGAGGACGGGCTAGGATAAAGGAAGCGCGACGAAAATCGGTGCTTACGAACGCCAGTTCATTTCACGCCCTTGAGAATAGTCCCTAAGCATCCCCCTTAACCCCTAAACGCCTGAACCCCTAAACGCCAGAACCATTACAGTGGAGACTCACAGGCTTTCTCACTGCTGCGAACGATGACGGCCCATGGCACTGCAGACCAGAAGAGAGCAGGCACGGCATCGGAACGAAATGGGTAGTTGTCAAAATTATGTTCCCTTTTTGGGTACCCTAAATACTAGGTGCCGTATTTAAAATAAGGACCCAAAAAGGGACCATAATTTTGACAACCACCCAAATGGATTAGGAATTCGGGTCAAGGTGGTTTATGCGAGTGGCCGGCGCGAGTGTGTCTTACCTACCTTTGGCCCTCGAGAGAGGAAAAACTCTCCAGGTCTCTGCAGTCGTAACTTGGTCAGATGCAAGAATGCCCTTGTCCGGGGTACTGTATCATCCCAGCAGCCCTTCTGAATGCATGTTGTAAATCCTTATATCTTTTGCCCCGCATAAGATCCGTTTGTAATTATGAATAATCCAGCCGCTCAAAAGCATGCAGAAGAGTTGGGTCTAAGGTGGGCGGTGTGGAGACGTGACGATAGCACCCCCGACCCACCCATGGACTGCCCGTGGCAGCAAGGAATTGAACCTTCAAGCTTCGCTTCGTACTCAAGGCAAGCATCTCCGAAGCCCAGGTGGTATCAGCATCGAATCCTTCCTGTCTCTCTTTGAGATGACGTCTGGATCCTAGAGTCTGGGAGAAATCAGACTTCCGGACAGCTGCAAACAAAGGGGGGTTAGAGGATTCAGGCCCTGTTTCTGACTGCCGCCCAAAACCCTTGAGTTTTGCCTGACCTCCCAAGCTTTCCACACAGCGGAGTTGGGTAGGACCATTCCGGGCAGACACCGTCTGCAAACTACGACCTGACTCTCCATGTGGATTGACCACCGTTTAGGGCCTACAGTGCTTTGTCGCTCCCGGTTTTGTACGGAAACCTTGTGACACTAGAAGCGCTGCCCCGAAAGCTGGCTTAAACTTAGAGCCACGAAACCAAGAACCCTTCAAACTCTCCACTCGACATATTCAGGTTCCACCCGCATGCCACGGGCCAGGTCGCTGGGATGACCGAAGGGGGTGGTGTTGTATGGTTTGAGGCTTGGGAGAAACGTTTCGAGGATATTCGGATTATGTTTTTTGCGAACTTTCGGATTGAACTGGGCTTTGGGTTACAGGGGGGCTTGCTTTTCGGGAGTTGAGGGCCTGGATCCTTGTGCTTGAGGATTTTTTTGGCTTCCGGCTTGATGTGCACCTAAGCATTGTCTCGTCATTCACGTGCCCAGGCCCTCAACTGACAGCTTCAGGCGACAGAAAATGCGGACTTGGGGTTTGGGATTTTGGCAAGAGCCTGCGGTTTGTGATTGGCGCAGTTTAGGGTCTGAGGTCTGAGGTTGTGGGATGCCCGAGCATCTGATACTCACGGCCCGGTAGCATCAGGCATTGTGGGAGTTTCCGAAAATAAGGGGTACCTTATTTTGGGGTCCTTACAATAAGGATCCTACTATTTGGGGTACTATATTAGGGTCTCCTACTGTCAGATACTCCCATGTACATAGGGATCCGACGAGACTTCGTTGGGATGCTCGGTGCTCCCCCCAAGGCCCAAAACCGAAGGCCTTCCGCCTTAAACCGGCCCAAAGCTCACCTGCACCTTTGAAGAAAGCCTCCAAGCAAGAAGCCTGTTTGTGGGTAGTTTTCTAAGTTAGGGTCCTGTTTGGGGTCCTTTTTATAAGGGTGCCGTACTATATTGGAGACCTGAAAACAGACCCTCATTTAGAGAACTACCCTTGTCGTCAATTGTCAGCAACAGAAGCTGTAGGTGCGTGTCCCCGGCTGGGTCACTGCTTCGCTCCGTGTGCTGGGTGGGCTCATTTGGCAGGGCACCAGCGGCGAGGAGCCAGCAGGGAGTCGCGGAGTTTCGCGTTTGGGGTTTGGGACAGCGGGTCCCCGGTTTGAAGGTCTCTTCATGGAGGGTTGGGGGTTCGGGTTACAAGATTTGGGGCTTTTGGCGTTCAGGCCTGACCATGTAGATGTAAATTCCTGAGATGCCTCCTAAAGATCTACAAGACCTGACATGCTGTGGAGTCAGGTTGCGATTTGGATACACTGTATTCCACTGTATTCAACTAAGTGCATCTCTTCAGATGTTCAGGCTCCCAAAGATACATCCGAAGCCTTGAAACCCTTCGCTGTAAAAGTTTGACCATGTTTTGTAACGAAGTAAGCAGATCCACTGCAAGAAGCAGCAGTTGGGCTTGGCAGATAGACTTGCATGTGTGTCACAAAGCATTATGCGCTTTACAGATGTGGCCGGAGAGAGGCAGAGAGACAGAGAAAGAGACAGCAGTGAGAGCAATAACGAGCGAGGGAGCGCGCGAGGCCTTCCCGAGCCCCCGGGCCACCCTTCAAAGTAGGACCGTGCTCGCCAATTCTTCGAGCGTGCAGATGCCAACGGAAACGGTCTCCTTTCCCTGCCGGAGCTCGTCGCGGCCGGGGCTTCAGGGTTGATGGGCAGCTGATAGGGGGCTTACGCATCGGTCTCTCTAGGATATCGTACGTGGTCTACGGAGTAAGTGGCACTGTTGTATAAAGTTTCGATCTAGGCCTTGTTTGCAGCTACTCGTATGTATACAGTTAAGGTGCTTGAAAGGCTTGTGAGTCTGATAGACACACTGCATGAAGCTCCTTGTATTGCCCCTCGATCGGAGCTTTGTGGTCTGGAAACTCACCGTGCCAGGGCATCACGCAGCTGTGCCAAGCGGAAAACGTAGACCTGCAGCTCACCCGGAGCCTCAGTCAGCAGTTTAGCATCCTTTTGCAAATGCTGGGGGTTTGTGATCCATCGTAAGCTTCAGGTGTGTGCGGCTTCGGGCGCACCAAGCGTTTGCTCGCCCTCCGTCCTCGTTTCATTTGTTCATATTCGTTCCAGTACAGTTGTTATCACTTGACACTATCTGTGGTAGAGTTATGGATAGGACAGCGGGTCACTCATCATTATTCGGCCATCGAGTCGGGCTGGGGCGGATGAAGTCATGTCGATAGTTGCGACAACATTGATCTTTGGTGGCAGGAAGAAAAAGAAGATTTGTCTGATTGCTTATGCAGATTTCCCAGCAAGCTTGAATCGGAAGCTTCCAGATCTTCAGGAAAGATTTCCTCGACTTGGCCAAATGGGTGGACATAAGCGGAGAGGGCCAGGTCAACTACGTCGCGCCTCGGTAAAAACGTACATAAAGTCTCTGTGGTGGGTCCTTCATGTGGTAAGCCCGAAGCCTCAGCACGGAATTTTCACGGACCGTGACAGCAAACTAGTTTGCAAGCTGAACCTATGAGGTTTTGGATCTAGGGATGTACAGGGTTGAAGTGTTTCCCAAGTCAGAGATTCAACAACACAGTAAACTGGGAACACCACCGACCCTAAACGACGAACCCTACATTCCCTACATACATCACCAAACGTGAAATATTTAAATATCGTATGAGGTCATCAACACTACCACGAAAATCGTCATTCCTGTACCCCCCCGCCCCGGAGCTGTAAAAGTCCTGAGCGCGAAATTACAGCTAAACACGAGCCCTCCCAAAGCATCCGTTTATGGGTATGTATATGCATATCATGTTGAGATATAAACATAGGTTAATGCACAGCAATAGTAGCAAAGTGGAGCTTCCAAGGAGTTCCTGAAGGCTTTCCTCCCGGCCGGTCTTTCAGACGGCAGCTTCCAGGCGGACATCATGGAGTCCATCTGCCGCCGGGACGAAAGAACTCAGGACATGTCATTATAACCGTCATATGTGGAAGATACAACGACAACTAGGAATATTATCGTACTCAAATCAGCCAGTTGGAAGCACTTAGGCCGATCTCTGTCGCAGTTGTCGTGTTTGAGTGCGGCTGCCTCAACCTTGTATTGTGGAGGATCATGAATAGGTTGAGGTGCCTGGCTCCCAGTGTTGGGAGTTCATGGTCCTTACGGTTTTGAAGGTGGACAGTTTACTTTGTCGTGCCCTTTAAGGTGTCGATGTGATTATTGCCTGGCTTAAGAAACACGGTTTCACGCTCTTTCGCAGGATTTGGCTTGTTGCACGTTTGGGAACGGGGATCGTGATTCGAGTTTGGACACATATATAGTTATATAGCTGATCAAGACCTCAAACTCCACATGCCTGAAGCCTCAATTCACGAACTCCCCAGCCTGGACTCGATGATTGAGACATCAAGGTCTGCACCTTTCTTCATGCCCAACAAATGGGAGTTTCCGAAAATAAGGGGTACCTTATTTGGGGGTCCTTATATAATAAGGATCCTACTATTTGGGGTACTATATTAGGGTCCTCTATTTTCGGAAACCCCCAAATGAGCCTCAGGCACCACGATCTGGAGCAACAAGACGGCCCTTCTGAGAGCCTGCCTGACCTTCGATGCAACTCAGCAACATGGGGGTTTCCAAAAATAGGGGACCCTAATATAGTACCCTAAATAGTAGGGTCCTTATTATAAGGACCCCCAAATAAGGTACCCCTAATTTTCGGAAACTCCTACATCTGTGTCTCGGTAGGAGGGGTATTTCGGGGGTCAGGGTTTCCGTGTGTTTTACGGTTTAGGTCGGTTGAAGGGGCTTGTTGCGATCCGGAAGCCCAATACGGCCACACTCCTGAACCCCAAACATGTCCCTCTAACTCTTAATCAAACTCGAAACCTTGGAAAAGAAAACTGGACCCTCGACCTTTTTGGCTGCCGCCTTCCTTTTCGCTCAGTCTACGCACAGCGGTCGCGTTGCTAGAGGGCAGCTGGCAGAGGCGGGGGTGGCACAGAGTTTTTGGGGTTTTGCCAGGGTCTCAAAATGTGGACCTCAGGGTCATCATAGGCATTCCAACGCTACGCTAGGAAGGGAGACAGGGTTGTCGGAAGTTCGGGCTTTCGTGTGAATTTTGAGCAGGTTGAGGCTGACTTTCCTTCTGAGCTCTTTGGAAGGATTGTTCTGCGGTTCGATCTCCGGGTCTTCAGGGCCAAAGTTCTCTGTTGTTTAGGGTGGAGGTGGGAGTAATGATCCATGAGGACCTCCATGCAACCCTTTGAACAGGCTTATTCCTGTATACATCCTTAGTCTTCATACTACACCCAGACCTTCCTGGGCTTCGTGGGCTCAGAATTTACTTTAGGGTGAAGGTCATCGGCTGTGGCGGGTAGGGGACCGGAGCCCAAACTTACTGAAATGTGCGAATTCGGCAGGGCTGCCAGGCTCTGACTTCTTGGGCCTGAGGCCATGGCCTTTACTTTAGGGTTTGAGAACTTCTGGGTATGGGGCCTATGATGCCGCCCGCCATGAGGCGTGATCACCAGTGATTCAGGTTTTCAGATTTCGCGGTCGGGTTCCGGCTTTTGAAGCTATGCTCTTCGCCTGCGAGAACCATGACTACTCTACATCCTCGTCCCCAAACCCGACACAAAACGGCAAGCAACTCAGAGACCTCTGGCTTCCCAGGCGCTTCGGCATCTCGAAAGCCGCGCGGGCGAGGCAGGCAGCGAAAATTTTAGGGAGCACCCCAAACCCTAAACTCTAAACCCTAAACCTTAAACCCCAAACCCTAAACCCCAAACCCTAAACCCATCCAGAGGCTCAGAGCTGATACGATACGGCTCTCTGGGGTAGGGCAAGGGTTGGGGGCTTCAGGGGTTGAGGACTCAGACGCTACGTAGTCTAGGCCTCTGCTGGCATTGAGGGCTTCAGGACTTTTGGGTTCAGAGTATGGGGGTTTAGGAGCTATGAGTTCAGGCTGAAGGCCTTAAGGCATCATGGCTCTCGGGACGGCACGTTGAAGTTCAAAGCCTACGTTGTCGTGCTTTGGAGGTTATAGGTTTTAGATGTTCGGGGTTTCCGGAATCGGAGGAGGCCGTAGGCAGTTCCGCTTATGGGATCTCGGGTCTGGAATTTGGACGTTTCAAGATCCAGAAGTCCAAGTCTGCGGAAGATGGGGGGGGCCAGGGGGGTCTATTGGAGTAACAGCTTAACCTGTTATGAAGGACCCTGCCAGAAATTGCAAGGATGCAGTCGGCTCCACGGGTTATTGAACAGATCATAGATCTTTGGCTTGGAGGGTTTGACATGTGCGGCTGGCTCGATTGTACTTTCTGCCTCGGCGGACTGAAGGAACTCAAGAGTGTCAGTGTCTTTCTGTTATCGGGTGTGCGTAAAACTTCTGCTTATGAGCGTGAGACTTTCAGAGCTCTATGGAGTTTTGGAACTTACGACTGTTAGTTGCAAGGGTTTCAAGCTTTTCGGTCTTGGGGAGCTCCCGAAGTATTGGCGGCAGGCCAGAAAACTTAAACCTTCATCCTAAAGCCTCACTTAGAGGATCATGGGACTTAGTAAGTAAGGTTATAAGTCCCTTAATTGGGGTTAATAAGTATAGTTACCTTAGTTATAACCCTACTTACTAAGTCCCATGATCCCTTAAGTAGGGGTCCCTAAACCCTAAACCCTAAACCTTAAACCCTAAACCCTAAACCCTAAACCCTAAACCCTAAGCCAAACATAAATGATCGACCCGTGCCGCTCAAGCAAAGAATCCGCTGCTTCTTTGGCCGCTGGGAGGAACTCCTTACTGCCGAGCAAGTGGCAGTGCTCCTGGCCACGGCCTTGAACCGCTGTATGTGTCTGTGTAAATCTATATATATATATATATTTATTTATTTATTTATTTATTTATATATTTATTTAAATATATATATATATATATATATATATATGGTGCGCTGTGCGTTCTGCCCCCCCCCCCCCCACCAGTACCCCAAAAATAGCCCCCAGATACACGGGTTTGGGGAGCCTTGGGCGCCTGTGGGGAGGGTCCTGTTCCGCAGCGAGACGGGCCATTGGGGGAACTAGACTCCGAACCTCGGCACCCCAGCCGTTCCACAGGGGGGGAGGAGATGATCACACGCACGACCACTGGAAGAAGCCATTCCACGCGCGAGCTCAAGGCCCAAGCCGTTCCACGGGGGCGAGGGGGAATGACCAAATGGGGGATACCATTGGGGGGGGGGTGGGGCCCGCCGGGGCGCAAAGATATGTATACATCAATATGCAGATATATGTATTCCCGTTAGTCCAACCCTCCTAATCATTCGCTGTTTTCTTATCACTGAGTGTACAGCTTTGCAGCAGCCTCAGCACCACCCTTATTCATGGCCTGGTCCGGGTTGTGAGATTCGCTGGAGAGAAGCGACGCAATCAGGATTCGATTCACGGTGTGAAAAGTGTGTCATTTTCTTGAGATTTAGCAACACGCAAGCTTCGAATTGCTGAAAGCTCAGAGGTTGTGCCGTTGTAACAAAGCGGAGTCGGAGTGCTGCTGCAGCTCAGGACCACACCAAGTTCAATCCGAAGCTGCTCGGCTGAAAACCTTAGGGCCACCGCAATCAAAGTTTTGAGTTTGGGGCTCATAATTTCGGGGAGAGTTGTAATATTGTTGTCAGTCTGTTTGAAGCCATGTACGTCAGCATACGTTCCATTGTGCGACATATCAGTATATCCGGGAGGTTTGCGGTGTAGTGTTTGCAGTTCAGATTTTTTGGTTTTCTGAACAGAGCGCTAGATGCGTAAACAGTCAATCTCCAGGCGAAAAAAGATGAAAGACCCTTAAGCGTAGTTAGGGCAATGTAGACAACGCTTTCAACTGTATCTTGCTAAAGGCCTGAACACGTTCTGGGCTTGCAGCAGCAGAGCTAGACACTCTAAAGAATGTGCCTCGTTCCGAATGCTGTACTGTTTGTCTCGGGCCAGCACCCCTTACTGCTGTGAGGTTTCGGGGTTGCCTGGCCAAGCTGAGCTCTTATGACCTGACCCCTGTCCCTCAACCAATTCAACCTGGGGAGGTTAGTGCGAAAATCCACCTGAGATGGTGACAATGAGCGGTCGCAGTCAGTGCAACGGGCCTTCGCACAAAAAACACCCAATCCATCCTAGCTTCTCCATGAAATGCTAAAAACCCCGAGGCCTAGCCCGAATACCCTTCACCCAGGACTGAGCAAGTGCGCTACCGGCGCTTCCTTGATAGCTTCCAAGTTTTCGACACCGCACCCACTTGGGCGTAGTGAGCGAAAAAAACTCGTGGAGAGTCGAGGGCATGGGCAACTGAAGATCTGCCAAAGTCGTTTCGAATAGTGCAGTTTCTCCAAGCAAGGCCATTTTGTATTAGTAGGTACGATGATGGTACGGCTTCGTCCATAGATATTTAATGTGGTTCATATTTTAATATCTCCCGATTAGACTAAATTGATCGATATCAAAATATATCTGACCGACTACTCAATAATTATTTCGAAATTATATCGAATAATCCTATACTTCATTATTTCTATTCGGAATCTATTACGATATTCACTAATCAAAATATGAGATTTCAAATAAAAAATAATTAAAATTGAATTTAATTGGATGAATATATAGATTATATATTTTTATATGGTTAGGCGTCTGGCATTCTCGATCCCCCCCCAAAGGGGCTGTCTAGATGACATAGGGAGGACCGGATCGGATCGGTATCTTTTGCAAATTATAATTTATATATTACTCCTATAAAATAGGGCGTGATCTTATTTCTATTAATTTTTTAAAAAAAAAATATATTTATTTTTGGATATAATTTAGATCGCGCTAAAAAATAAATTCTGAATTTGAAATAAATTATAAGCCATAATTCTAAATATCTTGTATTTTAACCTCCCCCTTAATTTCTTAATATTTCGCGATTTTATAATTTTTGTCTTTGGATCTTGAACCTCAAATTCGAAAATTTGAAGTGAATTTTAAATTCTAAAATTTCTTAATTACTCCGCGGGGGGGATTCTTGGAAAAAAAAGATTGGGGGGGGGGAGGTAGAGAACACCCGACCAAATATATATTTTTATATATACTATACTCAAATAAATATAGAATAGGAATCTTAAAAATAGCACGAATAAAAATCTGATAATTATTGTCTTCTATATGCTAAAAGATAAATATAATTGAAATTATACATGAAATATTCATAATTTGAAATTTATTCTCGAATGCATAATAAAAAGGATCTTATTTGAAGTATAGGGATCTAGAAGATAGAATTGATATATAATCTATATCTAATATTTTTAAATATTCGTGAATATCGTGTGCCAGCCTCCTTGAAAAATGAAATCCGTTACTTGGACCTCGTATTCCAAAAGTGGTAATAGTCACGGGGATGGAGGGGATCTTAGATACGAAATTTAGAAAATCTTGATGCTATTGGGCGTGCAATTGTATTCGGGCTCGTGGCTCCTATTAGATTTGCATTAGATTGAGTTCATATTATATTTAATTCCTTCTAATATGAATAGAATTTCGATTATTTTTAGAATAATGATTCTTATATATTATATTTTGATCTATATTTAAGCATATTTATATTATTATTTTTGAATTATTTCTCTGAAAGACGGAAGAAAAATTAAGAATATAATTATATATTATGATTCTCTAAGAATTTATCGATTATTGCCTTCTTAATTTCTTCTATTTCGTATTATAAAGAAAAAAATCGATATTAATAATACTATGAAAAAAATATATTATTTGATATTAATTTGCACTCGTATTTTATATTAGATTTTATTTTATTTAAATTATAATCTATAATATATATTCAATAATTTGGGTGATTTTGTAATTTTATATACAAATAAAATAAATATAATCTGTAATTAATATATAAAATATATGGGTATTGGATAATTAATTCTGAATAGAAAATTTCTAAAAATTAAATTATAGATAATAAAGATAAGAATATTATAATTATAGATATATAATCTAAATTTCATTAATATTTTTATTGAGATTATGAAATAGAAAATAGAATAAAATAATTTCTCGAGATGTCTTCGAATTATATATGAGCAAGAATAAAATATCAATAAGAAATTATGAGGCGCAAAAGAAGAAAAAATTTAAAAATAGATATTCATCATATATTTAGATTATTGAGATATCCGGGAGGTATATTAGAGATCCGTCTGCCGGCCGACGTACAAGGCAAGTCTTGTGACGCCGGCGTCTTATTGCCCGCGGGACTGGAAGTAAGACCTTTATATAGCAAATTAAGGCGAGTACGGGGCTTGGCAACGAGGTTCAGCTATCAAAAAATTTTAGGGATCAATTTTTTAATGCTGAGCACCTGAAATGATTGATCGTCTAAAATATCTTCTAGGTCAGGGAATAGCTTGGAATCCGGAAAACGGTTATCTTATAGATCAAATATCCTATCAAATTATTGAATATATAAAAAATCCATAATATCGAATAAAGTCTTCTTGAATTCATATGATATATCTATGATGGGGAATTCAGGAGCATTCAGATTATTATTCTATTCCCCGTCTTTGAAGAGATCCCCCTAGTATATATTATTTATCATGATAGGGCCACCGGCACTGGTAAACGCACCTGGCGATATAGCAAAGACTTTGTGGGGCGGAGAAGGCAAAATCGATATGAAGGGCTCCCCCTCCGTTGGAATCCCCAATGTTTGGAATGCAGCTTGACGATCCGTCGCTGATATATTTTGAAAGTGATGCGCGACTTCCCTCGATACCGGATGAGCCTCGCGTTTATTATGAGAGCTATTGGAAGATATCTGTTGTCGGACCGTATTCGTGAGCTCATGAATGCTCTCCAGTAGTGATATAATCTCTGGCGATAATTCTCTCGATGATTGCCCATTTGCATCTTGGGATTTATATGATTTCTATTTAATACGCTCTAAATAACAAAATATATCTTATATTGATTATGAGATTATTTCTTTCGATATAGATTTATATTGGTATATCGTAGAGTCATCGAAGTATATATAGTCATCGAAGTATTAGAAGAATTTCATAATGGAATCAAAGACTTCAAATAAATTGGGATCATTCGGAATTGTAGCTGACCAATGCTTGTTGAGGAAAGCTTCGCGATAATATCTTTATCTTCATCAATAATTATCTATTCAATTTTCTTGTTATCAGATATAGTCGAGATTAGATAGCCATAGAAATTTTATAAGATATTTTTGATATGGAGAGCTTTGAGGTATCCATGAGCGGAATCTGAACGAGCCTATGAGCATATCTGGAGAAATCATTGAATATTAAAAGATACGAGCGTCGGCGCACGAGCATCTTTTGACAGTATATGCAAGGAGCCCCACCCACCGGTGGCAAGAGCTTGTCGAAGTATGCCCGGTAATTGAATAAATATCTATGCTAACTATCCAAGAGAATCAAGTGCATAAGTAATCATATTTAATAGTAGTCTTCTATGCCGCATTATCTAAAGGATTTGATCGAATATTGCAAGAATCGATACGAATCTTATAAGCTATATATATGGTTCGATATAAAATTATTATCGGAGAATCAAGATTCGGAAAGCTCAGAAATAGATATATATATATGAGAGTTTCCGAAAATAGGGGACCTTAATATAGTACCCTAAATAATAAGATCCTTATTATAAAGACCCCTAATTAAGTTACCCCTTATTTTCGGAAACTCCCATATATATATTCAAAAAGGCTAGATAATGAAGTCTCGTCTAAGTTGTAAGGCCAGACTTTGCAGTTTAGCTTTATAGAGAAATTATAAATTCAAGATCGGTAGCTATAGTTCGAAGCATGGAAAGCAAGCCTAGAAATGGTATATATAAAGAAAAATATAAGATTAATCGATATAGTGTGGTAGTCGAAAAATCAGCAGCTCGCAGCTCGAATAGTTGTATATACAGGCAATATTTTCTGAATTGCTCGAGGACCAAAAACCCTCGAGCTCGAATCCCTTAGCTTGGAACCCGTAGTAGCCTGATAAAACCTGAAAATATCAACTGAAACTGGAGATATGCCCGAATACTAACCGTATCTTACATAACCCAGCAATCCATAATTAAGGTAACTGGAACCGTAAGCTTTGATCGTTATCATTTGTTGCGCGGAGGCGAAGATGGCCCTGTGCAAAGAGGGACTCCAGGACATGCCTAAACAGCAGTGTCCATCATGTAACCAACCCCTTGTTGGGGTGGTTGGATCCCTTGGCAAGGGAGACTCATGTCAAGAGCTCCAGAAGTGTCGCATCGAGGCATCTGGAGTCTGGAGCCAAGCATTCTACGAAAAGCTTCTCAGGCACTCCACGTTGAGAGCACCGAAGCCCTGAATCCCAATGTGCCCCAAAGCCAAAAACATATGCAGGTGTGTGTATGTATATATGTAGATGTGTGTGCGTATATATATATATATATATATATGTGTGTGTGTGTGTGTGTGTCTCCGTGTATGTGCATGTATGTATGCAACTACTATGTACGACTCTATATAAAGAATACCAATACTGATAATAACAATAATAATAATAATGTTTTCAAGCGCAATCATTGCAAAGGCAGCTGCACACTGCGCCGAGAGCCTCACGGAAAGTTGTTCGTTTGGGGTTTGACGTTTAGGGTTGGGGGGGGTTCGGGTTTCAAGCTTCAGATTTAGGATTTTACGGTTTAGGCTTCAAGGTTCAGGGCTTCTTCGCGTTTAGGGCAAGGCCTCAAGGTTTGGCCCCTGGGTTTCCAGTTAAGTCTCAGGGCACCATAGGCTTCACAGTAAACGAAGGCCATCCTAGACATGTTCTTGGCTTGGTCCCATGGTCGACTTAATTCTGAAAAAGGATCCCCAGTAGGGTGAAGCCTTGTGTAGCCCTGGGCCTTTGTTAGGGAATTTAGTCGAAGTTACCAGAACAGTGGTGTGTCCACAACAAATATACATGGCGTTTTCGCCGCATATTCAAGTGAGTTACTTAACAAGACACTGAGTGCACCTTCTGTCGGCACCCTTCCCTGTCCAGTAACCCGAAGTCTCAAACATCACAACCTTTCACGGGGAGCATGTTCAAAGGATATGCACGGATCCCCGCCAGGGAAGTGCCCTAGCGAACGGAAACTCGAAACGGCTCCAAACCCAAGTACTTCGCCTGTAACAGTCTGGCCATCAGCTTTGGAGCGACTGGCCTCTGGGCTCTTCGAGGTTTCTTGGGAAGGGAGGGTGCAAGGCAGTGCACGATGGAGAATTTGAGTCGCTTCCTACGACGCACCACACTCCTAGAGACAGAGCTGAAGAAGACCGGTGTCCTCGCGGAGGAGCGCTCCTCCATTGCCTGGGGCACGCATCTGGGATGTGGGTTTAGGGTTTAGGGTTTAGGGTTCAGGGTTCAGGGTTCAGGGTTTAGGGTTTAGGGTTTTGGTTTAGGGATGTCATGATATCTGGGCGATTCCAGCTCAGCGGAGACTTGCCAGACATTAGCGCGACAAGTGCGCGAAGCCGTCTGAAGCTGGCACTCCAGAACCTGCCTCACAGACCCCCAAAACTTGGAGAATCTCCGGGTCCAAAGCAACCCACCCCGTGAACCCCCAAGCTTCGGCCCTGAAGGCGCGGAGTTTTGGGTCGACATGCCCGAGACTATCACGAGGTCCTTTCAAGTTTGAAGGCTTCAGACTTGAAACAAAACACGGTCGCTGAGAGGATGTTGAATGCTTTTAGCAGGCATGATAGAGGCTTTACAATGCTACAGCGGAACCAAGCGTTGGACAGGGGTTCACAAGGTTGCCAAACTCCTGATAATTGTACGGACGTTTCCCAAAGTACCGGACATCAGAACGAGACGGTTGTTCACTCAGCGTCCTGATTCTCGTCCTGATGGGTAGAGCTACTGCTACTGCTGATGTCATGAACTCGGCACACTGATTTTGAATCGGTACCGCACCTGAACCCGGAACCCTGCCTGCGCAGGAGGAGATTCTTCTGTAAGCTTCATACTGCAAGCCGTGCCTGCGTGACGTCGGCTGCAGCCGCTGTGGAGGGTGCCGCCGCAGCCGCAACAGCAGCTGCTGCAAGCTGCTGCGCGTCCTTGTGGGCAAAATACGAAAAATGGCAGCGATGGAGTTCTAACAGGGTACTGACGTTCTATGAAAATTTGGAGATGGCTAATTACCTGTACAAATCGCGGCAACTGAATCATGTGTTAGTCCAAACCAAGAAGATGGACTGTAACTGCGCAGAGGTGAAAAATCAAAATTTGGGATCCGCTCCGAAGCTTTCACTGTTCGGGTTTAGGCTTTGAGTGTTTTCCGAGTGGTCTGGGTCAAATTCTCACGGGGCACGAAACTGAAGTCAAGACCGGGCGGCGAAGTAGAGATGACTTTCGGATTCGACCAGGATGGCCATGAGCATAACCATAATCAAAATACCAATAATCGTGACACTAAGAGTGAAAAATTCGAAAAACAACCATCATCATAATATCTCCTAAACCCTATAAACCCTAAACCCTCAAAAATACGAATCATCATCACAATGTCTGCTCTAAGCCAGGGTCCGTGAAGCTGCCCTCCGATGCGTATCCGACGCTGCCTGCAGGGCTCAGTTGGAGAAGTATTCGGGTAGCGCTCTGAATTAGGGCCCTCTTTTCGGGTTTAGGGTTTAGGATTCGGGTCCTCTTTTGGAGTTTGCGGCTTAGGGTGAGGGCCCTCTTGTCTGCAAGAAAGGGACCTAATTTCGAGAACTACCCACATAGTGTCGAAGCAGGAGACACCGAAAACTGGTAAAAATCACAAACCTCCTGAGCCTTGCAACCTGCTAAATGCTAGACCCCTGGTCAGGTCGTCTTCCCTGCGCTAAAAGTCTCACGAGCGAAGTGCAGCGTCCCGCTGGGCCTTCGAACGGCTACAAGAAAAAGCTGAGCAGCATAACACCCCTGGAAGACTGAGTGCCACGAAGGGGGGACTCTCATCCCTTCCCTCATCAGTTGCACTTTCGCTTATCCCGCAAGGACACATACCGGTATCAGGCCAGGTTTTTTTGTTTAGCCCCTTTTTTTGTCCGCATGGGTAGACGGGCTGGTAGGCTGAGGCTATGGAACGAGGGCCTGAGTTTCAACTTGTGGGGATTCAAACCTCATACCAGTTGCTTCCGCCTCCCTTGCACAAGCCCCTCGACCAAACTTCAGAGTAATGCTGTGTCATTGGTACACTGAAGCTTTACAATAGTGACCCTGTTGTGCCCAAGTACACTCGGAAGGAACGTGCTGTGGCTGGCCACATTGCAACAGTTTCAGTAGAATCCGAAGTACCAACATTCACTAGGCACCAGGTCAGGGTTTAGGGTTTAGGGTCCCTTGACGCTGAGGAATTAAAATCTCTTCCAAAGCTCGCCGTCCATCCTCGAAGACTTCTCTGCCCTCCAGGCCCGAAGCAACTGAAAGCACAAAGGCCCGAGACCCAAACAACCCAACCATGGTCTTTGGGTTTAGGGTTTAGGGCATCCATGACCGTTCCGCGAAACCTTACACATATCCTGTTGCCCCATGTGCCGATAGTCGGAAATCATCCTCTGACGAATTCCGCCTTCGATCGAGCCTGTCGGCGAGATGTCTAGCCCTTCGGCGGCCGCCTGTAGCGTGGAGTTTTGGGCTGGTTTAGGCATGGGGAAACCTAAAGCCTAAGCACCTTGGGGTTGTGGGTTCTATCAGGGTTTTAACTTTATGCTTAGAATACGACTGCGGGTTGGAGTGTAGTACGTGTCTGTTGGAACTGCAAGGGAGGGAATCGTAATTGTAACGCTTCAAGCCCTACATAGGTTCCCTGTAAAACCAGTATCTTGTTGCTGACTTTGCTGGCCGAAAAACTAATGTAGGGGCTTTAATAACTAGAACAGGGTTTTGGGACTATATTTATCAGAAGCAGCCCTCAAAATAGTATAGGTACTTACTATTATATAATATTTGCAATAAGGAACCCTCAAAACAGTTTAGGTTTACTTATTACAGAAAGGTCCCTACAGTAGACTGCGTTGGGTTCTTGGGCTCAACGCCATCGGGCTTCCTGGGCGTTCGGGTTTGGGGTTTAGGGTTTAGGGTTTTGGGGTTTAGGGTTTAGGGTTTTGGGGTTTGGGGTTTAGGGTTTTGGGGTTTGGGGGTTTAGGTGGACAGACCTCTTCGGAGTAAACAGCTTTTGGCCTGAATGCTTAGGCTCAGGGCTTGCGCTCTCAACAGTTTAAGCAATACACATGCTGCCCAGGGCTCTGGGGCAACTAAAAGCCAACCTGCTGAGATGATATAGGGATTTGTACTACCCGAAAACTTGGAGAGGTTGCACGTTCCCCACGCAACTGCTACGAAATCCGGATTTCTACGTTTCAGACAGTTGACAGCCTCAAGCTCGCAGTCCCAGTATGGACTCAAAGACCATGAAATCCAGCAAAAGTTGGATGGGAAGAAAGCAAGTAAACGAAGAAACAACAACTCACAAATTACAGAGAAAACTCCAGATCCACACACAATACTTTACACAGTCCCACAAGGAAACCGCTACCACTTCTTGCGAGCATCCAATGGAACCCTTGTGTGCCTGGACGTCGATCTTCTCGAGAGGTGCCGATCTTGGCACGGGAGTTCTGGGAGCTAGTTACCTTGAACTACTAGTCCAACATAATCTAAGTTTTGTCGTGCCCTACAAAACTGCAAAACTGAGACCAGTGGGAAGTTCCCCAAAGCCCAAGCCCCCAAATTTGCTCTCGGAGTGGGGAGGGAAATGAAATGCTTCCAAGTCTCCTCGTTGGTGTACTCATGTCCGTTTCATTCTATATGTGGAGCTTTTAAATTTTGTCGCCGCAATCCGTCCCGCCGCAAGCAGTGGTTCAGGTATCGTCATCACCATTGTCAGCGTCATCCCTAAACTCTGAACCCTAAACCATCGAAAACATGCAGCAAGTCATCAGTGCCATCATCAGCATCATTATCATCACTTGAGTCGTGGAGGTTCCCTTGATCTCTGTCTTACTCACCACTCCTCTTCGGGATTTAGGAGATGCCCACCTACCCAAAACCTAGCTTCGGACTTAGAACCAGCCAAGTTAATCTAAGGGCTTCCATGGTACTGCTAGCTGCTAACTTATGATGTCTAGGGTTTTACATTCAGGGTGAACCCCTGATCAACATATCCCCGTTTTCCAAAGGCAAGCGCACTTTCAGTGCAACTCCAAAACAGGATGCGGCCAGACCGCACGAAATGCTCCCATACCTTTAATGAAAACATATTCCAGAACCCGCATAACAGTAGGGTGTCAGGACTATTCCTCCATCACGGGGGTGTGGGACTCTGGGACGGGCTTTTTGCAAAATTGGCAGCTCGAGCCCTGCACCCTAAGCCTCCAAAGTACTTGGCCTCTGAGGTTTTACAGAGCTCATAGGTGTTGTTGAAGTGTTCCGATCAGGATTGAAGCACACAAGGAATGGATCACCATTGCCTCACCACAGCCTAGGCTATTTGGAGTACATGGACAAGAGAGTCTGGACCCTTTGCCCCACTCAAACCTTGAAGCGATTCTCAAAGCTCTTCTGTCCCCCAGAGAACTGTGATGTGTCAGGGCCCGCGGCGCAGCATTCCAAAGCTCTGAATCCTCAGCCCGCACCCTACTGGTAGGTGCCAGGCTGCTCGGTCAGGGAGTCGACGGTCTCTGTCTCCGACTGAGGGACAGATTTCTTGAGGGCTCATCACATGTTTCGGAACCGAAAAGTGCTTCGAGACGCCTTGAAATTGAGTCAAATCCCTGCATGTATAGAGGCATATTCAAACTTGAGGGCTTGGGGCTGCTTGAAGGTATCTTCCTTGAGAGTCTCTTGGGAACAACAAGCCCCCCACCCTCCTCCGCGAGAAAATTTGACACCTAACATCGAAGCGTCAGCTGGAGGTAGGCCCTCAACCCCAAACTGTTGACGCGGAGCCACGGCTCTTCTGCAAGTGCTGTTGGTCAAAGTGGGCCACCGAACTAAATGCTCAAACGGTTTATGTAACTCATAGAGCCCTCAAACCCAATCACAACATCGCAAAGACGCGGAGCCTAACAAAGAGTAAGCTTGTTGGGTGAGCTGGGAGGTCATGGCCTGTGAAGGATCTTTGGGGGTCGGGACTCGCATGGGCTTCGAGACACAGGGATCATGAGGGGCCTTCATAATCAGAATAGGGTTTTGGGCTAGATCATATCATGATTATCGCTAAGAACCGTGAGGAATAGTAGCGGTACTTATTTCTCAAGCACCATCTCCAAAGAGCTAAACCAACATGGCCCTATAATTTGGGGAACGCGCGTGGGAGGATTTGCCAAAGCCCCAGCTGTAAAACTCACAGGAAGTGCCCCCTGAACCTTACCGCAAGTGCCCCGAAACCTGGAGTGCCCGAGACCCTAAGCCGCGTGTGCCCCGTGTGCCCTAAGTGCCCTAAACCCTAAACCCTTAAGCCCTAAACTTTCTCAAGGCGGCGCCGGCAGCGCGGCCTCGTCTGGCTCGAAAAATTCTGCGTCCGCCTGGGATCAAAGAAGCGCTCCACACTTCCAAGCCCAATATCATAACATGCCGCATTACACTCCCTTACGTCATATCCTCACATAAAATATTATATTATATCATGTTGTAATATAATATCTGCGATATAGTGCTTTATATCGTATAATATATACTGTAGTAAATTATGTAGTATTATATTGCACATTGTCCGGCCTTCGGCCAGTAGGTCCGGCGTTTTGGCTTACCTGAGCGGAGCTCGCGCATCGTCGGAGATGTGAATGCAAAGAGCTGCGGACTGTGCCGGGGACGCAGTGACCACGCCGGCTCCAGGATCCAGCCTGCGGAAAACCCGAGAAGTCACTCCAACGTGCAAACTGCTGGCTCAACTGGGCGCTGGACACATGTCGAATTCGTGCTCTATGGCCCAGTCCTTCCCAAAACGCAGTCGGATTGGTGAGAAGCAACTCCTAAAAATTATGCTAGGGATGTCGGCGATCTTCCGCGATGCTGCCGAGAGTCTGCTTTCTTCGCAGTGGGAGTGCGCGGCAGGAAGGCCTTGACGGCAGTCCAATCGAACAAGTACTGCAAAAAGCGAGGATCGCCTTATGACTTCCTACTGGCACGGGCATCTTGCTCTGACCGCTCTTCTCGGTCTGAAGGGATTCGAAACCTTAAACCCGAAAAACTGCCCTGAACCTGGAACTGCGACAGGATGGAGCGGGTGCTGCCGAGTTGGCTTCAGGCATTTGGGTTTCGGGTTTAGGGTTTTGGGCTGCAGTTGAGCAAGTCTGGCTGTCATGGTGAGCCACCGGAGCGCAGCCGGACTGGTCAGCGTTTAAGATGCACAACAGCAGCAGAGCTGCTGCGGGCTCAGGGCTTTCAAGCTTCGGAGTTAAGACGGGCTTGAGAAAAAAATGTCGACTCCTCGTGTTCGGGACGGCACAGTCGGGCTTTCGGCCTTTAATGCTTCGGGTTTGAAGGTGAGGGCTGAGGGCCGCCACAACAGGACACTGATGTCGGGGGAACATAAGCTACACCAAAAGCACAACCAAACGGCTGATATGAAAGCTTCAAACTCAGAGCAACCGATCCGCCTCATCATGGCATTCGCACTGCCTGGAGACTCTCCGGCTGATCCAAGTTGGGCTCAGGGGTTTGGGGTCTAAGTTAGGAAATCCAGCTTTGCGGGTTTCGGGTCTAGGGTTTAGGGTTTATTGTTGTGTTCAGACAGCAGTGGAAGGAGCATCGGCTCTGAAGCCATTCCTGCGTGTATGTGCACTCTGCATCTGCACACAGAAACTGACAGGTGAAGGCAGATACGTGGAAACATAGAAATCTAGACAGGTACATAGTAGGTACATAAGCAAACTGCGCAAGTACAGTACCTCTTGTGGGCATGCTTCCGCCAACGCCACGTGAGTACTGCCAAGCATCGTGCTAAAAGACACTCTTCAAAAGAGGCGAAGTCTGCGATGATTGCTGATGATCGAAGCGTATGAGACTTTCCAAAAGGCTTTCGAGCAGCGACAACATCAAGTTCAACCCTGGAGCATGCCCACTTGCATCAATCTACCATACCGTACCATAAATCTGCGTTTAACAAATGAGCACGTTGTCTACACGAGGTTTCCGCGCGCGCACATACAGTCTCAGTGATCCCATTGAACATCCCCAACAGCCACCCCGCAACTCGCCCTGGAACCCGCCCCAGAACCTTCCCCGGAATGCCCAAATCTGCCCCAAACCCTGTTTGTTTCGGCTGAAGACCCCGGGGAAAAACTCAAAGGCGGACGTTCGCATTACAAACTTACAGTGTCCAACAAGTTCACTACGCCTACAATACCAAGATGCAGAAATTTCAGGGTGGATGTTCGCTAACACACTTGCAATGTCCTCAAAAAGTTCACAGCACCTACAACACAAAGACACAAAAATGTCAGCGTGGACGTCCGCCTTACGCGCGTATCGTGTCCTGCAAGTCCACAACTCCTACCATACAAAAAATACAGAAATTTCAGGGTGGACGTGCGCGATACAAACTTATCGTGTGCTTAAACTTCACAACGCCTACAATACAAAGATACAAAGACTGAAAGGTGGACGTTCGTGTTACAAACTTATGGCGTCCTTCAAGTTCACGACGACCACAAGGCAAAGATGCAGAAATTTCAGGGTGGAAGTTTGCATTACACCCGTATCGCGTGCTGTATGTCCACAACGCCTACCTTTCAGGGTGGACGTGCGCGATACAAACTTATAGTGTGCTTAAACTTGACAATGCCTACAATACAAAGATACAGCGACTGAAAGGTGGACGTTCGCATTACAAACTTATGGCGTTCTTCAAGTTCACGACGACCACAAGACAAAGATGCAGAAAATTCAGGTGGACGTTTGCATTACACCCGTATCGTGGGCTGTATGTCCACAACGCCTACCACAGAAAGATACAGAAATTTCAGAGTGGACGTGCCCGACACAAACTTATAGCGCGCTTAAAGTTCACAACGCCTACAATACAAAGNNAAAGATACAAAGACTGAAAGGTGGACTGCAAGCTTATGGCGTCCTTCACGGCGACCACAAGACAAAGATGCAGAAATTTCAGGCTGGCCGTTCGCGTTACACACGTATCGTGTGCTGTATGTCCACGGAGCCTACCATACAAAGATACAGAAACTTCAGGGT